ATGCAAATGAATGAAAGGCAAAAACTAAGAAACTAACACTGAAACAAACTCAAACACACACACATGATACTCACACACACACACACAGACACACGCACACACAAAGACGCACTCACACCCAGTGAGCTTTAGCATTAAGCCTACTCATTTGCACTCCCGTTTGGAGTGCGGCTTAGTCACGACTTCCAAGGCTTTCGAGGCGCTGACTGAGTCATTCGTGTGACAAAACTTTGCTCAATTTCGGCATCAATTGCCATGCATTTCCGTTAATTGAAGCACACAGCTGTTATGTGATCAATGCGGTTCAGTTCAGCTTTCCATTTTCAAAAGACTGCACTCTCAATAACTGTTATAATTTCGTTCATAATGCACACTGTGACAACTGCATTGGGCCAAGTGCTCTACACACACGCACTGCAACTTTCAAAGCACTCAGCTGTTTTGACAGCGCTCTCTGACTGCGCGTGCTCGCCCTCTCGCTCTCTGCCATTCTCTCTCTGTGTGCCTGCGCCTCTCTTTTGGTCTGCTTGCATTTTTACATTTTTATGGATTCTTCAACTATTTTTACACCTCATAGATTAGCTTTGCCGTTTTTATGTGTGTTATGTTTACTACAACACACACACACACTTGTGTACTTAGCAGAATTATAATTTGTTTCTTTTTGGTCAACGTACTCTCAATCCTAGTGGTGTTCCAGTTAGAGCACCCGCATCGCAGATCCGCTGCTTGTTTATATTTTGCTAAGTTCATTTTGTGGCTATTTTCGTATATGTAGAGTGAGTGCAATAAGGAAGTGAGTGTCTGCAGAGAGAGAACGAAAGAATCTCGCGCGGCGTCTTGTTGAATAGCCAATATTTAGTTCAGCTTCTTTTTTCTTTCCGACCGTTCAGCTGCGCACCAAATTAGGGCTTTTTGTTTATTAACGGCCATGACCATTAGCGGTTTATTTTCTCTTCTCTTTCTTTTGCTGTTGTGTTTTTTGTCAATTTCTTAATTCTTATATTTTCGCTGGCAGCCCACATGCTTGACCGCAGCGTTTTTGCCAATCCCCCCGCAGTTGTCGCAATTAAAAACCCGTAGCAAGAGGCGCTCGGCGAATTTGTTGACCAAATATGTGGCATTTTCTGAGTGAGCGAGTGAGTGAGTGAGTGAGTCTCTCGTCTGGGTCAACTCGCTCACGCACTCGCCGAGCTTAAGCCCTGGCGCTCCCACGATCGTGCTCAGCCCACACACACATACAAACACATACACACACCCGGTCGCACTATAGAGAGCAAAAGACACAGAGAGAGAGCGCTACACCTGCTTAGCTCACGCACACACACACGAAAACATGCACACACACTCAAGCACTGGCATACACATGCATGCAGTCGGCGCTCGCAGCGCGGCACCCATTCAAAATCGTTGCTTGCGCTCTGGCCGTGCTCTCAGTCCAATTTGAACAACGATACCGAGCGGTTGGCGTCCTCTGCAAGCAAATTATTTCCGTTATTTGAGTGTGTCCGAATAGACAGCAGCAGCAGCAGCAGCGACAGCAACAACTACAACAATTTGTAAATTTCTGCTGCCGCTGCCAACGCACAGCAGTTTTTCTAACCTGGCCCTAAGCACCAGCAGCAACAACAACGCGAAAAAAGTTGTCGTGTGTGTGAAAAATTGTGCAAAGTGCGCAGAAAAAAAGAATTGAAATCATAAAAAAGCGTAATAATTTCCACAATATCCGCCCGCAACTTATCATAAATATAAAGTGTGTTTATCTTGGAAGAAAGAAAATAAAAAAAAACTATTATTAATAGTGACTAAAATCAATTGATTAACTGATCGAGTGCGTGTTGCCTGCCTGTTGCTTATCAGGCTCATAAAAATGAAATAAACGCACTCGCAATTGGCAGCTGTATTTGCGCGATGCCTCTTCTTCCAGTTGTACATTTGTGCGTGCGTGTGTGTGTCTGGGCGTGCTGGTGTGTGTGTGTGTGTGAGTGTGCATTTTTCAAATATTTGCCAGGTCTCAGCTTCAAAAGAGACGCCCAAGAAACTTCTTTAGCTTTGCTTCAAATTTTTTGTGTGTTTTGTGTGGCTGTTTTTGCCATTTCTGTTGGCTGGCTTTTCATTCAATAACCAGTTTCTTTTTGTTGTGTGTGTTTGCCTTCCTTTTTTTTGTTTTTTATTTTAGATTTGTTTTCTTTATTCTTATTTTCGGTACCTTTTTCGAGATTTTGGTAGGCTATGCGCCTGCGTGCACGCACAGATTTGATTTCCAGTGGAATTGTCCGCAAATTAGTCATGCCAAACGCACTGTCTCCGGAGTCGTTTCGGCTGGAAAGTCTACCTGAGTAGTTAGCTCTTGATATTTGTCCGTTTTGTTGTCAGCCACCACATTCTTAAGGCTCCTTGCACACATGTCAGACATAGTTTTGACTGCGCTCTCTCTCGCGTTTTTTTTTTCTCTCTCTTGATCTACCTCTTGCTCTCCCTCCGCTCTTTCCGACTTAGAACAATGCAGCACACAAATTGAGCAACGTTTTTTTGTTTCTTTCGAATGCAAGCTAATGTGCGCTCTCACTCAAGCTTAGGCCTGGCTAGGAAAAAGCGACTGAAAAAAACATGTGTGAGACACAATAATAACTGTGCCACACAGTGTTGGAAAAAGTGTGATAGAAATGAGCGATGTGAAAATTAGTAAACAAGAAACACATTTTTCTGAGTTACTGTGTGAATTTTTGCATGTGAATGAAAAACTACAACAGAAACAAATTTAACAAAAAAATTGAAAGAAAAAAATAAATACAAATACACATATATAATTAAATATTAGCAGTGAAAACGTACTTATGCAAGTTGCAATTGAAAATTAATAAGAAAAATTTATATACAACCAATTGCCGAAAAAAAACTACAACAAACAATATATAAATCTAATAATCATAAAAAAATTGAGTAAAAGTGCAATGCAAAACGAATTCATTTGTTAATTTTTGTCGTGCGAAAACTAAAAACAATGCACAATAACAAATAGAAGCAATAAACAAATTGAAAAAAAATCAACAACAAGCAGGCAAACACGAGAGAGAAATTCAAAAAGATATTTGTATAAGTATCTGTTGCGCCGAGTAGCTGTATCTGTATCTGTATCTAAGTATATCTGTAWATGTATCTGTGTTTGTTGTGTTGAGGGGCCATCGGTATCTAATCAGCGCGACAGCCTGTCTCATTGGCCAGCTGGGCGTTGCGTGTTTCAACTATTATTTATGTAGTTATTTATAAATTTATTATGGAAGTTGCAAGTTRAAAGAAAGCCAAAGCCAGTTTGTGTCACCCCAACTGCTGACCTCATGCAACCGAGAATGCAAAATGAACAAAAAATAAATAAAAAATGAGTACAGCAAAAAGTTATCAATGAAATTCCATTTGTAATTCAACTCGAATAAGCACCTAAAAATAAAAAATGAGCTACAGACTTGTCGCAAATGAAAGTACAAATTTTTTATGGCCATTGTTCAATTTAAAGTGCAGCTAAAAAATGATATTTATGTGTTTAAGAAGACAGAAGGAGACAAACAATTTAGAGCATAGCTCACTTTTACTGCGCTTTTGTATTTGTGTCTGTGCCTGTGTCTGCAATTGTACCAACAATTGTATCTGTACCTCTAGCTGTCACAGCAGCTGCCCTGTCTGATTTCAATTTATCTTTATAATTTCAATTTGCGACCCGTACCGCGCCCGGGCAGACAATTTACGTCCATACCCTACATAACCTTCGAAAGGGCAGCAAAATGTCGCAGAGTTCAAGATGAAAGAGAACTCGTAATGGTTTGAAACATTCCGTCTGATCTATAGCTTGGTTATATAAATATAGTCAATTGGCTCTAAAATACTCCTATTAAATATGGAAATTGATAGGTTATAAAATTCTATTTCTTCTATTTTTTAAAGAGAAATTTCATATTAATTGGGAAAATGATTTACTATATATAGCATAGCCTTTATTTAGTACACGGTTTAAATAAAAGCTAAAACATAGTCAGCGTCTAATTAGATTTACAACCTGAAAGTTTCTATTTTTCTTGAGAATTCACTGTGTGGGGTCCCCGTCGTGAACCTCTGAAGTTCTGTTCTAATGCGTAGTCTGCATAAATACTTCAAAGTCAACATATACGCTTGTTCCCATCTAAGTTCGTTTACTCTTTTCTTTTAAAATAAGAGAGTATTCTCTTGTTATAAAGTTAAGAAGTAAATCTCTGAAGATGATCATTCATCTTATCATCATAAAGATTAACTTCTAAAGTCTGCCAAGCCGTGTATGCGATATAATTTCCTAGGGTATTTGAACTTCTGCACGTTCATTCTCTTGCTCTTTATTTTAGTTTATATCAATTGTCTGTAGTTTGTAGGGACAAACAGTTCAAGAGCCGGACGACAAAATGCAGAAACAGCGAGTCGTCTGTCATTTGCAGAAAGCATGTAGAAAGAAAGACACAAACACATACACACACATACACACACATACACACACATACACACACATACACACACATACACACACATACACACACATACACACACACACACACACACACACACACATGCATGCATATACACTAAAAAGATACAAAAGATACGCGCCAGCAAAAGATACAAATGCTGCGTACCCGGCGGCTGAGTTAGTTTTTTCTTTTTGGCTGTCAGCCAATTGGAACAAAATGCCGGCAAGAAGAGATTCGCAAATAGACTTCCTCAACAAAAACAGCGCGAGTCAACACAACTTTTACTCACATTTTATTGCACTTGATTTAAATTTTAGTTTTATTTTGCAATTCGATTCGTTTGTTGTTGATTTCACGTTCAAGTACGTAACGCTGACTCATGCGGTTAATTTGCATCTCTCTCGCGATCCGCGACTCGCAACTCCAAGTTTAGCCTTTTTAATTTCGTTTTGTCAATCAGTCAGTCAGCGGAGCAATAAAAATAAAATCACAAAGTGCCATCCACAAAAGAGAAAAATACCCAAAAAAAAAAAGAAAAAGAAAAGAAGACAACTGCAGCAAACGTGCTAAAAATAATAATCAAGCAAGATACGCGCAAGCGAAAGTATTTCATGACAACGCAAGATGACATCGCATTCCTATTATAAGGATCGTCTTGGCTTCGATCCCAATGAGCTGCAGCATGAGCCAGGCAATCATCACAACAGCGGCACCAATTCGATGAAACGGAGCAGCTCCAGGCAGACGCATCATCACCATCAGAGCTACCATCATGCCACAACGACGAGCAGCTCAACCGCATCGCCTGTTGCAAGAATCTCTGTCTCCCCAGGTGGCAATGGTACCCTCGACTATCATCAGGTCCAGCGGGAGCAACGCGATCGGGAGCTTTACGCCAATGGCCATAGCAGCAGCAGCACTCATCATTACCATCACCATCAGCAGCATCATCCAAGGCATTCGCATGGATTGATCGAGGCTAGTCCGGCGGCCAAAAAGGCCAAACACTCGTCAACGCAGGCGCAGCCGCAGGGCGGCTACGAGGATGCGTTGACGCAGTTTAAAGGTACCATGTCCATTTGGGATCATTTTATAGAAGATTGGGATATTATGCGTAAGTCGGCAAAGGTTCATTCTATCATTCGAGTTGTTCGTTTCTCGTTCGTTTGGCCGTTACTCGTTATTTGTTATACGCCGTCATTCAGATGCTCAACTAACTGAATTGCTTTACTGCTCTGCCCGTTACTCGTTGTGTATTGACGAGTTGCTAATTTCTTATACTATTAACCAGCTATACGATACCCGTTTCACCCGACTACGGACTTTCCGTTATACTAAACATATGTTGATAAAAGGAATTATTCCCGGTTTCTTGTTATTTAAGTGTTAACGCTCTATTCGTTATTTATTCAAAAAATGTTGTAGCTTAGAAAAGTTACAAATCACATTCGATCGGGATATATTTTATTATATATATATAATTGTTACAGATTCTATTTGATATGCCTTTCCCATTAATCAAATTTGCTACTAGAACCCCCTCAACTCGTTTCTCCATTTACTAAACAGATCTATGTACGTCTTTAAGCTCTTCACTTTTGATTCTTTATGCTCCACTCGCTAGTTGTTGGTCGTCTCTCGTTGGTAGCGTGTTTTCCGTATCGCAATCTTGCTAAATTCTATTTTTGCCAGTTGTTTGAGTAACATTAAAATTGCCGCCTGCGGAAATGATTTGCATTTGCATAATGATTAACGAAATCACGATTAGGTGAAAAAATATGCTTGCATAATTCCTTATTGTAATTATGATACGGTCCATAAGCTTTCAGCAGCTGGTCAGGGTTCAAGGTCGCCAATATAAGAGTATATAAAATATTGCTTATAAATATGCAAAGAATATATCTCATAGATAAACCATTTGACACCTTTCCGTTTTATGAAAGCACTTCGATTGTCTGACCCTGACCATGAAATTGATGGACCGAAGAGTGGTTCAAACCCTGCCCATGTTTACAGTAAACATTTCACCACCAACCAAGTATGAGGTATTTTACTTTAGGTGGGTCGCTCAACGGACCCATGTCATATGCAAAGCTTTGTCAATATTATTTTAACGTTTGCTTCGGCACCAAAAAATATTGATTCATTTATTGATTTTTACGCGTAAATTTTTTAGAACTGGTTACTGACTCGCTGATTCGCTGAGTTGTTGTCGTATTCTTTCCATTGGTTCTTTTGGAGAGCCCCTAACAGTTGGGGCAATTAACTGGCTCGCTCAAACAAATTAGTTGTATTCGAAATTCTGAGAATTTCTGCTGAGTATTTTATATACACACTATATATAGAAAGAACTCTGTACGTTGGAACCCGTTTATGATTTTCTAAAACACAATTTTTATGAGCTTTTTATGTTGATTTGATTTTGGTTTTTGATTATTAATTCGACTTTTGGTTTGAGCGGACACCCGAAATCTGAATATTTTCTGAAAACTGTTAAGTATGGAAATTCGATGCTCGATATTAAATATTCGATATTTACCAATTTGCTAATTTGTTGATGGGTAGGCGATTACCCCCATGATAAATGCCTTTTCGAAATTCTTTTGTTGTTTACCTACCACAAATTGGACCGGACTTTGAGCCCATCAAGTGCTTATAATTTGTATATATAGGACACATATATATAAATAAATATGTGCCTGGCTGAGTCTGACAGACTCGTTATGTTATTTTATCAAAGCTTAAGTGCGGTAAAGGCATTAATCGACTGTGTGTGATCAATAAATACCCATACACATTGCTTATAATCTATTATAAAAATACCTTATTGTGTAATTAGAGGGGAATACATAGAGAGATTAGGGTCTTTGAACGGGAAAAGACACTCCACTCGTAGCTCGATGAAATCGGGCAAGGATTAATAATGAAGAATGTGCAAATCTATCAAAAATGTTAATTATATTTAATTTCTCAGTTAAAGCGATCGTTGGCAGAACAAAATTAAAGACTCTACCTCTTTTAGACTATAGTTCGATGAGATCATATACTAATTTGCTTTGAATGAAATAGTGGGTCTCTAACAAGATTGTATATGCAGATTCCTTTTGAAAGAGCCCAAAAAAACTATGTCAAATTGATGCTTTGCAGTTATAAATTTAAAATATATTAATGAATTCAAAAGATTCTTGATTCAGTGCTATGCTTGTTAACCCACATATTTTTCCCCAAAGTTTATTCCAAAATATCTCTGTTTACAGGGTATGTGAAGTATAAAACTATTTATCATGCAATCTCTGTTACCTAATAGGGTTTTAGTATATTTTTGGTTTAGGTTGATTGAAAATAAGATATGGTCGACTACGCTAAAGACTTATTTATAGGCACTTTCATAATGACCCAGCAAGCGCTTATCAAAAGCGCAAGTAGAAAGCCTACCAATTATGCTAAATTGTTGTTGCTTATTACTAATGCTAGAGTAATTGTTGCTTTTATTATTATATTTTTGTTGATGTTGTGGTCAAGCAACGTCCTTCGCTTCGTGGCGCTGCCATTGAAGTGCGCTAATCAAAAAGCGCGACGACAGAATGCAAAAATAAACATTAGCGAACTTCAAAGACGTATACTACACTATTGATTTTTTTTTCATTTTGAAGTTGACTAAAAACAACAACAAACGTAAAATACGTTAACAGTGAAATACGTTAACAAACATTTAATCGTGGCAGCAAAATTCAACTTAGAACGTGACATCATCACGCGCTCACGAAAAGCAAGCGCAACAACAACACCTCTGTGTATATCAGATAGTGTGCTTACCTGTGTGTGAGAGGTATATACACAGACACACAGACAAGCACACACATAAACACACTCACACACGTACACATTTGATCATATGTACACTGTACACCTTTTCGTGTTGTCAAATTGAAATGAACTTTATATATTTATGAACTATGATATGATGACTGACTGACTGACGTTTTGCAGACAAACATTAAGGGATAAACTTTTGATACCCTGTAGTAAAAAAGGGCTTACAAATGTGTTCATTACAAAGACAAAAGTAAATGCTCTGTTAAGTAAACATACTATAAAGGTGTTAAGCTGCTTTAGTGATTCAGTTTTTTCCCGAGAATGTATACAAACGTGTAGGAAAAGTCATCTGAGCTCAAGAAATATTTATACAAACTTCACTGCTGTCGGGTGCCTAGACTTCAGTCTAATATATACCAAACACTTCAGGCTCTACCCTAACTATTATAATTTATAATATTATTAAGACGTGTCTTATATGCGCTGAGTTACTGTTAAAACTTTTTGGAGATTTCCCCGAGCACATCCGCTTAGCCATAGAAAATATTTACGATGTTAGATATGTATTATTTTCAAGCATATTTCTCTAGTTTTCTGTTTTATTTCTCAATTATCATAATCATCTCAAAAATTAGATTAGACTTATGCCAGAAACTAGTTCATATCTCTACTGTTTTAATAAAATGCTTGTGAAGGCGATTCGTGTGTGTTTATCGTATGTTTATGAATGTAAAATGTGACGATAACGAAAGTTCGTAATAAAACTAATCGATAACTATCACAAATTACATATGAATTATATAAATATATATTTTATCTTGAACTAGTTGACATGAACTATTAAATAGTGCTTGATATTGAAAGATCTGTGCTATAATTAATAGTTTTTAGTTCAGCAATAAAAGTATATATTAATTGATAACGGGTCAATTCGATACATACCGAATCGAGCAGTAGATAGCAAAAGAATTCTTCTTTTTTCAACGCAGATTTGATCATTTAAGAAAATATTTAAATTAAAGAGAAAAAAATTATTGAATGATCAAAACTATTCATTTCGAATCTGGCTACAAAATTCGAAATATTGGGTACTCAGACTGGTAAGACTGGAAAAGTCTTAATAGATTAATCCGTATTGATTTGAACGTAAGAGGTGGGCGACGGCAAGGGGGCGGGACAACAGTGGTTTTTGCACAGTTGTTATGTCGTGAGTCATTAATGAATTAAGTAGAACTTTGGCTAAGAGTGTTATTCAGTCAGCAATAATTAATACGAACACAAATGCAATTAATAACACGTTAACAGCCTTCACACACATACTTAAAAAGAGTTAAGACGAGAGAGAGAGAGAGTGCAAAAATACAGTTGTATAGCTCGCTCTTCACTCGCTCTCTTTCCGCAACTCTCTTGTTACCTGTTCTTTATCGTGAGATTCCTATGTATATATATAAAAGTGTTATTTTTTTCTTTTTGCACATTTTGTTTTGCTTTCATGTTTCTTGCTGCTCTCAAAGCTGTTTGCTGTCCACTTTATTTGCCCTGCACTACAATTTATCGGGTTTATTAACCGTAAAACTTCATTTACAGCCATTACTATGTACCTTAGCACTCGACTTGATATGAGTCAAATGGGCACTGAACTTTATATTTCGTATTGATGGGTTATTCGCTTTGTGTTATTCTTTACCTTTATGGATTTACAACTGCCATTGTGACGTTAGATTAGATTTCAAGTCTTAAGGAAGAAATATAGATTTGTGATTCCAAGCTATACGTGATATTAGTTTGATTTAAACATTTACTATTCCTCACAATTCATAGGAAATTACTAATACTAAGTGAGAAATAAAGCTCTAAAATATATTTTTCAAAATCAGAAAAATAATATAATATA